ATATAAATAGAAACAAAAAGACAGGTGGAGGATTGGAGAGAAAAAATATGAAAATGAGAAGACTAAACTATAATATTCAATAACAGAAGTGCCAGGAAGGAAAACAGAAATGGGGAGGACCAAAGAAGTCATTCAAGAGAAGAGACTTGAAGTGAAGACATAATATGTTACCGGTTGTGCCTGAAAGATGGATGCCCTTTCCCCGACCTCTACATTTTCTTTTTGTATTTTCTAATTTTGACATAACAAATATCTTTTAAAGTTAGGGGGGAAATATGTGATGTCAGTATCATTGTATTCCTGATATTGCCCTAGAATATTTAACTAACAGGTGGTCCTGTTTTCAATAAAATGAATGTGTAAAAGAAGCACGTTGAGTGAAACAACCTAAATTCAATCATTTACTCAGAAATTATGTCACCAGGACCAAGTCAGACTCATTTTCCTGCCTGTAGGAAAATGCTCTCCTAGAGGGCCACCAAAAAACAGGCCCCAGGGCAATCTATGTTGGGTGTTTGATTTTTATTTTCCCTTGAGTGTCTTTCTTTATTACTGAGTATTCAGTGTTCTACACAGATTCCTCTAGGGTGTTTTGGGCTGTCAGCCCTTGGCGTATTAGAGAATGACCCATTCTGTTCTCAGTTCTCTACGCTGGGCTAAGCCGTTCCTGCTATTTTCATATACTTCCTCAACCCTGCATCCAGATGTCCCTCTTACAAAAAGATTTAAAACTTAAAAACCTTCTGGACCTGAGCAGGCTTTGGGGTAGCTGCTGACCTTCTGCACTGGGACTCTTTTTGGACTGTCACAAACCCTACAAGTGTGTGAGTCCACAGCCTCGCCAGGGGGAAATGTGAGCGTGTGCTCCAGGGGTGGAGAGGTAAATACTGAGCTTTCCTGTTGATTCTGACCATTGTGGCAGTTTCTGGGAAAGAATCCAGTGTAGATGCCAAAAGCCAAACCACAGAATGTACCTGTGATCCAACTTCCAGGTACTTTTGTCATTGTTTATAATAAACATTTGGATGATGAGTATTATGTTTTCATTCTTTAACTTTTATGATGGGAAAATCAAACACATCCAAAAATAAAGCGAAGGCATAACAATTCCCCAGGAACCCATCAGCCAGCGCCAAAGTTGTCCGCTCATGGTCCATCTTGTTCTGTAGCTCTGCTCCCACCCGCTCCCAGCCTCCACCCTCTGGATTGTTTTAAAGCAAACCCCAGACATCATATCAGTTTGTATAAGAATATTTTAGTATGTATCTCTAATATACAAGCATTCTTTTAAAAGAGAAAAAGAACCACATTATCATCACACCTAAAGAAATTTTCTTCTTCTTCTCGAATATCCATTTAGTGTTCGATTTCCTTAATTCTCTCAGACATTATTTTTATAGATTTTTTTTCCCCCAAGTCAGGATCCAGATAAAATCCATACGTTAGTTGATATGTTTTTGAACGTTTTAAAAATCCCTCCCCATCTGTTTTCCTTGCAATTTATTTGTTAAACTGAGTTATTTTTTCTGTTTATATTGGAAAAGAAGGGTAGTAAAGTTGTATATTGTTAGGACCATTTTGAAATCGTGATGAAATGCTCTATAGTAAAAAAAAAATACAGTGTTCCAGAGAGATTTATTCCACATCTTAAATTAAAAGTCACCTTGTCATCGAGGCCCTCCCTGGCCATCCTACGTACAATTCCGCCATCTTCCAAACCTTTGGCATTTTATATCCTCCATTCCTGTTTCACTTTTCCTCCCCAACATCTAGCGTTACCTGACATGCTATATATTAATATATTTTACTTGTGTATTGTCTGCCTCCCCTCTGGAATGCAAGCTCCACGAAGGCAAGACGTTTGCAGATTTTGTTCTCTACTGTATTCCCAGCACCTGGATAGATGAATGAAGAAATATTAAGGCAGGACAGAAACAGGGTGAAGATGGCTATGTAGAGGAGGTGCAGACAGATACAAAGCATAATGAGGAAATTATCTCCACGCACTTGACCTTTTTGATTTCTGGTACCCACTAGAATCAGAGATCCCTATAAAGCTCAGATGATGAATACCTTTTGCTTGCCACTCAGTGATGGGGGCTCGTCTCTGTCAGTGCTGACTTGGTCTGTTGGCCCTTTCAGCCCATTGCAGGTTCAGGCCCCATCAGCCACAGGCTGGTCGGCCAGTTTTATCAACAGAGCCTATGTTGTTTGGGGTGGGAGGCCAGTCCTTTCAAACCATCACCAACAATGTGCAAAGGTACTCTCAACAAGGATGGGAGTCTTAACCAGATTATCTTGATTCCAAAAGTGTTTCCCAACATTTATTGTGATCGAATTGCAGTCAGACTGGGAAACCACAGGCCATGCTGGAATGTAGCAGGAAAAGCCTGAGTGAGTCACCCCTGTGGTATTAACCATCCGTGTGCCTTCAGCCTCCACTGCACCTCAGTGTTCTTGTATATAAAATGGGGATAATACCCTTTCACTTCTTCAGGGTTGTTGTGAGCTTTTGTTGTTGTCCAGTGATGCGGGGATGTTAGCACAAACCCTCCAGTCAGCCTGCATGAGAAGGCAGCGATCCGGCCACCGTGGGCGAGGCCAAGGGTAACAGTGGCCGAGGAGACAGAGGGCCGACCTCTCCTTTGGGCCAAGGAAGGCCCAGGCTGACTGGGGGAGGGCATGTGGCTTAATCTTGGGGCCCCCTCTCCTTTTTGGGGTGTAGTAGAGGAGATGCACTGGGGCTGTTTCAGCTGCGTGGAGCTGACACATCTCTCTCCATCCCTTCCTGCCTGGGGGCCTTGGCGATCTCAGCAGTTCTTGCCACACTGGCAGAGTGTATGTTGCTGGGACAACTCACCCACATTCCCGTTCCTTGTCTGGATATGAGGCATCCTATGAAGGGCGTACGTGGCAGTGATAAGGAGTCCAGTGGCCTCCCTTCCTATGTCTCATTGCCCCTGGTGACCCCCATTCATGTCCCTAAGGATAGTATCGGGCGTTTATTTCTCTAGGGTGGAGATTATGATTTTTACAACTGCTGGTGCCAGACTAGTAGATTTAGAATATTTTCTGGGCTCTGTGAAGGCCAGAAAGGACCCCCGGGGTTTTTTGTTTGTTGTACCCAGATCTGTACTGTCCAGTATGACAGCCACTAGTCACAGGTGGCTATTTAAGTTTTAATCCAAATTCATTAAAATTAAATACAAATTTAAATCCAGTTCGTCACTCACACTAGCCATATTTCAAGGGCTCAGTTGGCACGTAGGGCTAGTGGCTCCTGTATGGAACCTGCCCACAGCAGAAAGTCCTGTCCAGCAGCACCGGAAACCACCCTGCTCAAAGCGTGGGGAGGGGACTCGCGAGCACTTAGGAGACAGATGTGTGGCAAACAATGAAAAATAAGCTATTGCGAGTTTCACCTCATGTTCTTCTCATGGTAAAGCACCGCTTGAAGTAAATTCTTTAGGGGAAGACTCAAGGTTCCCTGTGTTGACACATTCCATTAGAAGGTTGTCCCCAGAGCACTCGCAACTATTCAGTCACTCATCACCTTTCAGCACGTTGTCGGGGACACAAGATGCCCACCGCTTGGCCAGGAAACGGCTCCTACCCTCCTGACTTCATGCTCTGCTGGAAGGTCGCTATGGGAAAAGAGGAAGATTAGAAGCTTCTACAGCCCTGCGTGACTTCTGAGTTGGTGGGAAAGAAAAATTCTTACCACTCGTGGTTTGCCGTTTGTAATTCTACTAGAAGAAGAACAAGGAAATCCTTGGATGAAACATGCTCTTCTAGAATGTCAGCTGTAAGCTTTTCTGTTCCACCTGGTGGCATCGCCGCAGCAGAGCCAGGACTAGGTGGTTTAGGGAGACACGCTCAGGAGCTGACCTTGTACTTGCACAGGCCCGAGAGTGAGTGTCTCCTTCAACTTTGCGCCCTGGGCATTTGGTTCGTCACCCAGGCTGGCTCTCTCTGAGCCCGTTTAATGCTCACTCAGGCAGGCTCGCGACATGGTCACAGGGATTCTGGATGCATGCTCAGTTCATTTAGCACCTGCAGCTTTACCATGTGTCTGCACCTCCTCCCTCCACGGAGCCCCTCGGGTAGGGAGTGTGTCTCTTTGTTCTTTGTATACCTGGCCTAGAGTGGAGAACAAATAAACAGCTAACAGATCAATGAGAAAATCAGTGGAGCCCCTCAGGTAGGGAGTGTTCTCTGTATACCTGGCCTAGAGTGGAGGACAAATAAACAGCTAACAGATCAATGAGAAAATCAGCCTGCCAAGGATCGACTCAGTGAATTAATGAGTCAGGAACTCTCTGAGCTTAGACTTTTCCGTTAACAGTTCAGAGAATGTCCTATGTTGTCACCTGCCAGCCTTCCCATTTTGGCACAGCTAAGTTCTCTCTGCACACGGGGAAGCCAAGAGCCCTGTCATCACCACGGCCGGGGATGGGCACCGCCCACCGCACTTGCCCTCCCTGGAATTCCGTCACTTTCCCAGCTGGGCTGAGCTTTCCCACTAGAAAGCTCAGCCTCTGAGAATGGTTCTCCTTCTCTCCTTAACTCGCCCTAACGTGAAAAATGAGTTTGAAAATTTTGGATAAAATCGTGTTTTGTTCAAATGTGGTAAAGATGTTTCTATAAATTGTTACTGTATTTCCTCCCGGAGTTGGTTTAGGGCTAAGTCTTAAACGTCTTTCTCACCCCAGCTCATTTCTTAGATAGCCTTTCTACCAGCTCTGCCCTCTCTCTTCCCAAGTTGGAAAATGTTTGCGTGAATTAATAAAGTTTACCCTTTCCAACAAACAACAACAACAACAAAACTCTGCTTTCTCCAGAGTCCATGTCACATGTCACAAAGTAGCCAGGGTGTCCTGGGAGCCCATGGCTGGGCCTGGGGGCCATGATTTGGGGAGGGATGGGATAAAGAATGAGCCTGGGGCTTGGATGCTCCTTTGCGAACTGTGTTACATGCTTCCTCTTTCTGCCTCCCACAGAGCGTATTGAAGAAGAGGGACCAAGTGCAAGCAGAGTACGAAGCCAAACTGGAAGCTGTGGCTCTGAGAAAGGAAGACCGCCCCAAGGTCAGGGACGCCCCCCAGGGAGTGGTGGGCTGCAGGCTGCGGTCGCCCTGCCCAGTGAATCTTATCCCTCGATTCAGGCCGGTGTCGATGCTTCCACTGCCCTCTCTTTGCTCTCTTTCCTGTGTTATTTCTTGGTGCTCCTAGTGTGCACTTGGGGTTGAGTTTTCTGCTGTTTCCTGTTGGCTTGTTTGTTTTTAAGACTTCAGCTCTGCCATTCATAGGCGGTTCCTCTCTCTATAAAATGGGGTCAGGAGAAAGGGGAAGAAGCGTGTAAATCAAAAGTATAGTTTGTGGGCTGGTTCACACACTGTTACTGATCCACGGTGGGAAAAGTATAGACGTTGAACGGAAGCACTTGATAGCAATTTGACATTTGTTGAACGCTCAAGGTGACTGTCGTCAAACTAGCATGGAGAGTTGCATGTGGAGCAAGTTGCATATTGGTTGTGCACAGTAGGACTACAGCTTGGTTGGTTCGGGGGGAAAAAAGCCAATAAAAAATGGGCCTGTACCATAAAGCGCTTGATCTAGCTTGTTTATAATGCCTTCCAGCTCCAGTGCTCTGGGTCTAGATAGAGGATCGCGAATGTAAAGATGCTTCTGTTGTATTTGTCACTCCCATTCGTTGTCTCTCTCTTCCCCCAGACAGCCAGGATTAAAAATGAGAGTAATAATAGCCAACGTGCAAGTGCTAACAGTGGGCTAAGCACTTTATGTCATCTCGTTTATTTCATACAACAATCATGTGGTTCGGGAACCATCATTATTCTCATGTGGGAGATGAGCCAACTGAGGCCCACGGTCACACAGCTAGCAAGTGATGGAGCCCAGAGCACAGCCTGCGGTCTGACTTTAGAACCTTGCCAGCCACCGTTATGTTACTCTGCTCCTTTTTGTTTATAATTGGGAGGTGTATTTGTTTTCCAAGAAGGCATAGGGTAGAGAATGTTATTAGAAAGGCAAGTAGTGGGGTCCCCAGTTTCAGGGAAGAAGTTTGACATCAGAACTGTTTGTTTGGTTTTCTCCCTCTGTCTTGGTCCTCAGTGCTGCTTCTGTGCTGAGATGTACCTGGAAAGGAACTAGCTTTGGGCATTTGAAACTCAACCCTCAGAAATGGCACACATTCACTCTATACAGTAGTTTTTTATATTAATGGCACTGCGTGATCACCACAGCAGTCATCTGAGGCCCAGAGGGAAGGCAGTGTTCTTTCCTCATTTCATGGGTGAGGAAACAAGGCTCGAAGCAGCTCATAAATTGCGCAGTTTTCTTGATGCCAAAGGTCTTTATCCAATATCCAATATCCAATATGTTTGTCTCATTGCTTCCCGTGTCACCATAGTGGTCTACACAAGAGGGTGAAGTACCCATGCATCTTACAGGAAGTCAGATGATAAAGATTGGGACTCTTGTCATTGGCCCAGTATATGTAGCTGGGACTTGGTCGGAGAGCTAGGTACCCTCCCTTTCGTCCACAGGCTGTCAGCTCTCTTCTATGTGTCACAAGGGAGGACATGCTAGAAATGCAGCTGTGTGCAAGGCCGCCCTCTGTCTCCCAGCTGCCTGTCCCATTGACTAGTCTGGTTGTCCCTGTGAGATTTTGGAACATGGTGCCGTCTGCTGAGCCCATGTCTCCGTCTCATTTCAAGGAATGACATGGAAAGCTGTGTTTACATATTTCAGATTTTCATTCTCAAAATTTAGCTCTCAAATATAAATAGAGAAGTTGCTTTTCCTGGCTAGGGAAGAAAGGAAAGATGGCAAGTTCTGCCCCTGGCCTAATTTAGAAGCTGAGGATCCTGTATTTAAATGATGTCAGTCTAATAGTCCTGTCAGCATTTGTACTTGATCAGCACTAAATACAAGCTTTCTCAGAGGTTGATTTTGTCATTTAATCTATGTTCAGCCCTATGTGGAACAGTTCTTTTACAAAGACAGGAGCTGAAGATTTGAATAATAGGCCAAATGAAATCTTGATTTTGCCCTGGCCGGGAAGTTCACATCCGCCTTGGAGCAGATGGAGCAGAGGGAACAGCTGGTTCTGGCTCCCGAGTTCTGGCTAGCCAGGTTGCAGGGTCTCCCGCCTCATGCTTTCCCTTCGTTCCTAGCCTGGGTGTCTTCTCTTCTCCTACCAGTGGGTGTTGAAATCTTCCTGCTGCTGCTGATCTCACTTCCCGAGAGCATCACTGACCCATATGACTCATTCTCTTGGCCATAGGACTTCTTAGAAGAGGGGAGGTTTCTTTCCATATCATGGGAAGAACCAGTAGGTTTTAGACACAGCTACATTCTCTTAGCAGGCCATAGGTTGGCAGTCTTTGCCTTCCTTCTTTCTGGTGGGATACTGAGCCATGACAAAGTTATTCTTGCTACCCGTTTAGCAGTTGTGATGTTTAACAACAAAACAGAGGCTGTCAGGATGGTGTACCAGTGAGCGTGAGCTAACAGAAATCGTACCACCAGTTTTGGATCTGGGGCAGCAGCTCCTTTGGTGGGCAGAGGTGGGCTCATTCGGCAGCCTGTCCAAGTCGACCGTGGTTTGGGAGAAAGAGCACAGGATTCAGAATCAGATGGGCCTGGCGTCAAATCCCAGCTCTGCCCCCTGGATTTGGACTGGTTTGTTCATGAGCCTTCGTGGGGTTCAACACATGATTGTTTTCAGGACATAAAGGTCCACGTAGCATCAGATGCAGTAACAGGCTGTCCCTCGACGGAGCCTCTGCTTTCCATGCTAGCCCTAGTTGTCTCGAGTAGGAATGCCAAATGCAAACTGTGTTTTCTGGGTTTGTTGTCACTTGTGATTTTTGATGTTGAAACAGATTTCAACACTGTTTCGAGTATTGTTCCTTTGTGTCCTAAAGCTTCCCCTGCTTTCCTGCTCCTCCCAACCGCCTGTCCTCCCTGACCACCCATTAGCAGGTAGAGAGACATCTAGGAAATGAATAGTTTAAGGTTTTGCCATGCTTTGTTTTATGAGGTTTTGGGCTCTGCTTTCCAGAGTTGCTGTTGGTGAGATAAAAACCAGGGTACCAAGAAGTGTGTCAGGGCTGGTTTTACCCCAAGGGCTTAACGAGTTCTACTGTTAGTAACTGATAGTGAGAGCAAGGTTGTTCACAGGTCCATCGCAGAGAGGTGGGGAAGGAGAGGGTTCCAGCTGAAGGCTGGGGAGTTCGTGCGGGGAAGGGCCCCAGGTCTGGGGGCTTACCTTGTTTTGAGGTAGAATCTTGAAAAGTTGCTCTGAAGAGTGAGGGAAGGTTATTTTGGGGAAGCCATAGAGTAGTATCAAATCTAATCAATTTTCCGTAACCCAGAAGAAGGAAATGGCCTTGCAGGTGTCTGTGACCCTCACTGCGAGTCTCACGTAGGAGCGGCTGTTCTTAGGACAAAGTAGTGAGTCCTGCGGCTCCAGCTGCTGCTCTGGGAGCCCTGAGCATGCAGTTCATCAGTGTGTACTGAGGTGGTTGGTGATGAGGTCTGTCCAGCTGAGGGAAAATGTTTAGCATCGTAGAATTTAAAGTTTTGATTTGTTTTTAGGTTGAAGAGACTCAGCAGACCCTGAAGGAATTCCTTCTCAGGGAGAAGGAGCTTTGGATTGTGTACACTTCATATTAATTTTGAAGTGAGAGAAGTTAAAGGCTCTCGGTTGGGGGCTGCCTGCCTTCTGCTGGATCTGTTAGGACCACAGACATGTGTGAACCTTAGAATTTGACCTTCCTTAGAAGCTAGGGAGGGCATCGAAGCTATTTCCAGAAACAAAGAGGGGCCGAGGAATTGCATTTAAGATGACATGGGAAGCATGCATACCCTAATGTGAACATGAGGGTAAACTCTGGAGGGAACTTGCAGGGTTAATTCTGCATTTGACTCTTTTTAATGCTAATATGTTCAAATGTTGCTAATTCAAAAAAGAACAAAGAAGGGATGCCAAGAGAGAATGCTTTATAAAAATCTTAACGATTATCTTCAAAAGGTAAAAATGAAGAAAGGGGGGTGGTGGGAATTTTAGGCCCTTACCTACAGGCGGCCTTGTGTTGGGTATAGCGCCAGGCGAAGAAGCTATTGGAAACGGGCAGTGTCGTTGGGGAATTGAGAAGGTGTGTTGCGTGGAGGTGGGTGGGAGCAGAAAACAGGATGTACTGAGCTGCTGCTTCTCAGGTTGAGGGGAAGTAGAACTTGGGATCTCTTTGACAAACCTCTCGAAGGCTATGGACCTTTAAAAGCTCTTAGGATGACGAGAATGGTTAACATTCTGGATCAGGAGAATGTGATACATAGCAAGAACTCTAAAGTGGCAGATGGGAGCGAGGAGACTTCTTAATATGCAGCTTCCACAGACCTGAGAATCAAGTGAGGGCATCTGTTGTTTCCAGGCACTTTCGACAAGTGAAGAGAGACACTCGCGGGGTTCCCCAGTTCTCTCCACAGTACCCATCATCTCAGCCTGGGTTTGAAAGCCAGACTGAGAGACAGAGGTCACATCAGCCAGAGAAGGGCAGGACTGTCATTTCTCTTATCTTGTTTAATTCCTATAACATCCCCTCGCCAGGGCAGTTCTTCTTGTTTTACAGATGAGGGACCAAGGCTCAGGAGAATTATATATGTTCAATGTGTGTGCCAAAGCTAACAAATGATAGAGCTGGGATTGGCCCCCAGATGTGTCTGGCTCCAAAGTAGGAGCCCTTTATCCCCACTTTTGAGCTTCCAGCAATCTGCACCGTTGTGTGTGTGTGTTGAGGGGAGGGGTCTGGCTTTTGTAAGCATGTATAGACGAACACTAGAGGGACTGAGGGAGAACATGGACCTTCCCGTGGGTCTTCAGTGTCTGTGTCTACTAGCTCCTTTCAGCTTTCATGCCGGTGAGCTCATGGCTTCTCTGTTCTGAACTCATCTTATGCCCTTTCTTCTCCCTTCTCACCTGCCAGTCTCTGAATTGTGTTTCTTATCTATTAAAAAAGACAGACAAACAAACAAAAAGCATTTTTTTTCAGGCCACCAATGAC